GGTCCTCGTCTGCGGGGGGGGCGGGGCTGGGCGCGGCGGGCTCCGCGGGGTCCGGGGGGGGCGTGTGCGGTGTCTGTTCCCCGCACCGCCCGCCGGTCCCGCGCGTCCCCACCCACCTCGGGCCGCCCCCGCCGCCGAGCGGGCCCGGGGATAAAGTGGCAGCGCAGACGCCGCGCCCTGTCGCCGCGGAGCCGGCGGCGCGCAGCTCGGCCCGGCTCTGGCCCGCCGCAGACGAGGACCCGCGGCGCTCGGGGAACGCGACAGCGGCGCTCGTGGCCCCGGTAACTGCCTCCCGGCCCCCGCCCCAGCCTGCGAGTGCAGTCCCCACTGGTGGGGAGCAGCCTCGGGGGTCCCCGGCATGCTCGGCGTGGGCTCCCGCGCCCCTGGTGCGCGCGCGTCTGTGCACGAGTGTGTGCGCGCGTGTCTGTGTGTGCGCGAGTGTGCGCGCGCCCTCCCCTGCTCCCTCGCACCAGCCCCCAAACCAACTTGTCCCCGTCAACTCCATTTTCCCGGTCCCCTCCGGCCCCGTGCACACGCCCGGCGAAGTCTCCCGGTTTTTCCCGTGGCTTTTCCAGTGACAGCTGCGGGGCTCCGTTCCCTGCGCTGTCGGAGACAGGCAGGAAGCAAAGTTTGTCTGGAGCCTCGGGGGTGACTTTGCCTCGGGGACCCGCATTTGTGCGTGTGCGAGGTGCCTCGGTGTGCGCGGAGCTGGTTTCCCAGTTTCCGGGGCAGGGGGTGCGGGGCTCGCGAGCCCCTCTCCTCTCCGAACCCCTCCATGGATTTGTGTACGAAAAGTGATGACCTGAACTAGTAGTGGGGCGTCGCGCGCGCCTGTTCCCCGCCCCTGGGGACGGAGGGGGAGCCCCGGAGAGCTTCCAGTGCGAGCTGGAAGCAGGCTCCCGGGCTCAGCACCCCGAAAGCCCTCAAGACTGGCTCTGGGGGCAGGGCGCGGGGTGGGGGACAGGGCCTGGGGAACTGCTTGAATGCCGCCCTGTGACCGCCGAGATGAGGGAACAGCCCTTATTTGCCTGGCTCTGATTCTCCATGCTGTCGTGGTTGTGGAATGCAAAAGCCAGGACATGATGGAAACAGGTTTGTCATGGAATCTTTGGAATTTCAGACACAGGAGGCATTAATTGGAGTATCATCCACCTCATTATTGTGCCCCTTTGAAACTTCCTTGGGGATTTTAAGATAGATGGGTCTTCTTGCAGCTGCGTCTTTATACCCACAGAGCTGAGTATAATTTCCACTTGATTACAGCTAAAATAGTCTTTAAGATGAAGTTTCCTGAAATTATTTAAAATAAACACAGATGGGAAGGGGGGAAAAAGCTGTAATGAGGCACTTAAAAAATAAAGTGAGCATTTTCTTAAGAACAAATGGGATTTTTCAGTCTTGGAGAGACTGCAAGAAATATGTTTTTGTTTTTTTTTTTAAGTCTCTGAAATGGAGGGGGTCCTTTTAAACTGCTTAAAATGTTTCTGACACCGAACGAGGCTTTGCTCCCCATCTCTGTGTGTTTTTGCCGTATTTCTGACTTCGGAATATGTCTTCTTTTCTTCCAAGGACTTGGAGATCCTTTCAGAATGCCGGAGGAAAGTTCTCCCAGGCAGACCCCACAGAGCGTTCCATACCAGGACCTGCCTCACCTGGTCAATGCCGATGGACAGTACCTCTTCTGCAGGTACTGGAAACCTACGGGCACACCCAAGTAAGTCCCCCCCTCCCCCCCTGCCGAGTGCTGCTCCAGACGCACTTGGCTCCATTCACGCTGGCCTCTGCCCTTCTTCCTGTAGCATACCCTTCGCGACTGCTTTCTTCATGACCTACTTCACATACGTTTTAACGTCAGGCACAGCAGTGCCCACAAAGATGAGATTTAGACTTTATCATTTTTTTTTTTTTTAAATTAAGAAGCAGGAGTTCTATTTTCATTATAACAACCAGGATACGGATTCTACCGTATGGCAGTTTTCAAAAATTCCACATGACTTTATTTTTTGTACTGGACTTGATTTCCTGTTGCAAGGGCATTCCTTTGAAACCAACGCCGACAACTCCAGAAAGCCACCTAAGCAGATAAGAACATCAAAACTGTATATATAGTAACCTTTGTTCTGTCTTCCTGTTTGATTGTGAGCTTCAGAGGTGTCCTACGTGTATAACTAGGGAGAAAGGGGTCTGGGTATTTCCTTCTGATTTCTTGCCAGCTCAGTTACTTTGTACATTTTCCATCAAGGATTTGTCTTGCTGTTAGAAAAGGCGTTGGGACGATACACCGTAAGACAGCTGGTCGCCTGCTGCTCCCCTTCTCTCGTGCGAAACAGGGAAAGCCCTGCTTGTTTATGTTATTCGGGGAAAGGAATTATTGGTGGTAACCATTTGGCCTAGGGACGAGTGAGCGTCTCCTCTTCCATGGATGTTTTACCTGTCTCCCAGGCCTCTTGTCTCCCAGGGTACACGGTGTGATGTAGATTATAGCTCTCTTTGTGTCTCAGTAATCACCCAACCCTAGCACCCTAGCTATAGCATTTCTCCTGTTTTTCAACAAGGTGTATATAATCCAGGTAGCTGCACGTTAAAAACACAGACATGTGGACTTTTAAAGACCCGGTTTAAAATCATAGCTTCAGGGCAGCTGTACAAACTGCCTATCGTAATGGGCTGTTAATACTTCCTACCAGTTCTGGCAATATCTTTCTTAAAGATATCCTCCAGAAGAGAGCGTGTGTCTCTGCATATGTGTCAGATGGAGACAGAGGAGAAGAGAGGGAAGGAGGGAGGGAGGAAGGGGGTGAGGAGAGAGAGAGGAGAGAGAGAAAGAGAGAGAGAGTTGTCAAGCATCGTCATTAATTCTCCATTCTGACTTACTCTCCACTCTGACTTATTTGGCTGTACAGTTGCGTGTTCTTGGTTTAACTTCTGAGAACGTTGTGGTATATGGGGCATTATTTGATCGATATACAAAAAGAGGACAAAGAATTGAAAGTAGGCATTTTTATTGTCCAAGTCCTAGACTTTGGGGGCTTTCCTCGGTTGAGTGGGGAGGCTGTCCTAGTTGGAAGTCAACGAAATAAAGAGGACCTTTGGTCCCCAAAGGGGGCGGCGCAGGGCGGTGGGTGAGTGGGTTGGGAATGGCCAACTGGCTGCCCTTCCTTGGCTGTGAGTGGTTTTCACAGTCTTCACGCTGACGTCACCTTGTGGGGAGGTCTCTCGGTTCCATTGCTTTTGCTCCACTTAGATGTGCCAAGCCCCCAGTAGCTTAAACTGAGCTGTCTCTGGGAAATCAGTGTCCGCACTGTGGTGGCCGCCGATGGCAATAAGAAGGTGGGGTGGGTGGTTGAGGCATTTGGGCCCTGGGATTTGGAAGAGAACTGTGATGGGAAGGCCACCGGCCTACCTACTCTGCCTCTACCCCCTGGAGATGATTCAGGTCAATAAACACCCTTTTGGAGTTGGGGGCCAATGTCAGAGGTAATGTTTAGGCGATTTCACAACCAGCCCTGACCCATCAGAAAGTCCTGGAGGCCTCCGGCAACAGAAGTTAACCCTGTGTCTGCATCTCTGTATATCAAATAGGGTGAGGGGTTCCTGGAGGAGGGATCATGGCAGCCAGAGTGGTGGGGAGCAGGGGGGTGGCCTCAGGGCAGAGGTTTATGCCAACTGAAATGGAAGCGTGTCCATGTCTGAATAACTGAGACCAGCTGCTTGGGCAGATACCAGCCACTGTGTGGGCCTGCCTTCTTGCATGCTCTGGAACGTCTCTGCTGTTGAGTTTCAACACCATTGCCCATTGCTTTTAGGAAGGGAGAGGGGACCTCAGGTCACCCCTGACTCCAGTCCGTCCCTTCCAGGGAGTGTCCTAAAGTCCCATTCCCAGTTCAGCTCCAGGCCTTCTCTACTCCACCGTCTGTGGGGAAAACCCAGACAACTGTCACCTTTCCCTCTGTTTTTCCAGTCTGCTCCATTTAAAAAATAATCTCCCTCCCAGAGGACCTGGAGACCTCAGAAGCCACCCTGGGTGGTGTCTTTCAGAGCGGGGTCTATGTACACCTCTATTAGCCACACTGCTTTGGGTTGGTTTTTTGGTCAACAAGTTGCCTCCAGCTCCTTAGGCCTGCCTCAGAGCGCCTGAAACTTTCTGGTCCCGAGACCAGCTCTGCAGGTGGCTCAGAGTGACACTGGGTCACAGGTGTCAGCCACAGCTGAGAAACCGGCCAAACCTGCTTATGGAATCAAGTTATGTCCTTATACATGCCAGCCTCCCACGCTGGACCCTGAGAGAGAAGAAGGCATTTCTTGGGAGTGTCATTACGATGTGTGTGTCCAAACACAATGCTGTTTTTAGTACAGCAGGCCAAAGACTCCATCTTTAACTGTTTTGCACCCAAGATTTTTAAGCCTACATTTGGCAGTGTCAAGGCAAATTCGGGTTCAGCTAGTGGTGTTTACAGTGTAACAAATGTTAGACTTAAGGTATAGCAGAATTATCTTATGTTCATTGAGTATCTCCTATTTTGAGTATCAGATATGTTCTGGGGTCTGGATTAGGCTCCCTACCTACATGATCTCATCTTAACTTGACATCAGCCTGTGAGGCCAATGTTATCATTACCATTTCCTATTTTACACATGGGGGCACAGGCCCAGGATGACCCAGGTAGGGTAGCTGGATTCAGTTCAGATTCCTCTGGCTCCCAGGTCAGTTGCTCCTCTTAATGCACCACTGTGGAAGGCAGACTTTCATCTCTGTAAGTAGCGTCTTCCTGATAAATTCTGACATTTTCCATCAGGGTTGAAGACCACTTCACCCTACGGTAAGGAGTAATAGAATAATGAATTCTCCCTGATTGTTGGCTCACAATTACTGAAAGTGGGAAATCAGTGAAAGATATGTCTCCATTCTGAAACTAGAAATCTTGCGATGCCCTGGGGGAGTGGCTGCTTGATCCAGATTCAGTACCTTGGACTTTGAAAGTACTGGTCCTTCAGCAAATTTCCAGCAATCATGTCGACAGAAAGACGGAGACTATAGCACCTTTGAATTCAGTCCACCAGGTGGTCCTCCTTAGTCCAATAAAAGATGACTTTAAATTCGCTTCTGAATGTTCGTTAGACATGCTCGGAACAGTGAAGGTGTTCCTGTCCCACGTGGCGAATGGCCGGCCGGCTGGGGAGAGGCTGGGTGGTCAGAAACCGTACTCAGTCTGAGGACATGAAGCCTTCCTTTGATTCTGTATGACAAGGAAGGCCGGGGAGCCCCCCTACAACTGTGTGGTTGTGCAGCTGAGGTCTCCACCAGACAGTTCATTCTAAACATGGGCCAGAGCATGTTGGTCTGGTGATCAGCAGGGCCACCATGAAGTGTGTGTGTGTGTGTGTGTGTGTAATATACCCCTCGGTGCCCTTCTTCCTTCTCTAAAGCTGCTACTTCCCTCCTGTGCACTTGGTCTCTGGGCCACCCCTCACCCCCAAAGGGCTGACAGGCTTTCCTTTCTGTAGCTGTGTTGGGATAACAGCTGGGAGATTGAGGGAGCTGTTTCAAAGTGCGGCTGTCCCCGGTCCCTCTGCTTGCAGAGTCCTGATGTGCCAACACCCTGCCTGGAGAACCGCTGCAATTCACAAACGACTCATTTTTGAAAGTTTCATTTAGCATTTTGTTCCAAATTTCCCTACATTTTCGGAGACGTTCCAGAACATAAGCCCTGGAGTTCCTTCCACAGACCTTCCTGGCTCTGTGTTTTCTCCCTTTCTTGCCTCCGACTTCAGGTTCAGTAACCTGGCTTTTCCCTCCAGTAACCAGGCAGCCACACCCTCACATGGATGCCACTCCTCTCCCCTCCTGGTTCCAGCAGTCTGAGCTTCCTCCAAGGCCGTCTGCAGTTGGTGTGGTTTTTAGGACTTTCCTCTGGGTGACATGGGGGTCAGGGCTGGGAGTGGGATCCTCCCCAAGTTCTCAGTCTTGGCCATTGTCAGTGGATCTAGAAGCAATAAGCCAAAGTCCTAACTCTGGCTGCTCCTTTCCTTATTCCTTATTCCCCAAAGTGGGGCTCAGCTGATACCCCCTACCTCTGCCCTGGGTCACACTGATCCCTGTGTCCTCGAAGCCTCAAAACCCTGTAGCTGAATTTTTGGGCAATGCCACCTTAGGACACTTCCTCCCAACTATGCAAATTTACCTGGAAAAGAGGTGATTTCCCGGAGCTGGGAATGTCCTCATGATGTCCTCCTCGTGTCGGCCACCAGCCCTTTGGGTGTGGTACCAGTGGTTCCAGAAGCTAAGGGCTCCTCCCAGCCAACTGGATCCAGCCCATGGAGACACAGCGTCTCCATTGTCTGGCTGGACATAATTTTGACCCCCTACTGCCTTCTGGAATTTTCTTCTCATAGGTCAGACTGGCTTTTCCTATGTTCCCCTCACCCTTTGGTTTCCTAATCAGGTTGGAAGTCACTTATTTAGTGCCTTCCTCCACGCCCCCTAGCCTATGGCATTGGTTCAGTGCTCTGAGCAACATTCCACGAGTTCTGCTTACATCTTTGGGTGTTTCTGTGCGTTCCCTGCTGACTCCTGCAGCCCTCATGACCTCTCTGAACTCCTGCCCCCTGGGTGACGAGGTGTTGCTGCGTCACTTGCCTGTGGTTGCTACATCCTTAGAGTGAACCAAATCACATCCCTTCTTTGTCCCTAAGAGGAGCCATTTTGAACTCCCA